ATCGTTTTTCCTGTTTGCACGAACAGCCGTTCTTGTTTTCTCTTTCAGAACCGCGGAGGGTCAGCCAATCTGCGATGTTTCATTCTACATGTGAACGAAGGACGCCACTCCTGTTGCTGGACACGCATGTTGCTTGTTTTCACGGTAAGCCATAAACTGTCAAAACCTGAACCCCCAAGAATCCCCAACAGCCACTTGGGATAGACCATGGAATGTCTGGAACGACATCCGCTTGAAAGCGCGGTAGGCCACCATCCCAAGATGGGGACACTTTATGGGACACCCAGCCACCGACAACGCTGAGAACGAGTTGGCGGAAAAACGCCTCAAGGCTGGGCGTCATGACAATTGAATAGAACAGAAGGAAGTAGACTGAAGGAATTTGATCCGATCTCATGGACAATAATTCTTCTCGAAGAGGTCCTTGGACATACCTAGCCGGGCCAAAGCAAGTGAACAACTGGAGAAAATCCAGTTCAAGCAGATTTCTTGCTAGAAGCCAGCTTTTCAGCTGCGAAACGTGATAGAGCCACAAACACAAAGAGAGAAAGGATACTGGAAGACCAAGGTACGTGTTGAAGGCTTTCTCGCTTCCATACCAGGCATCGATGGCCTCAGCATGGGCCTGATTCGAGAATTTTATTTCTTCAGTGGAGACGAGCGCCAACGAGTATTAAACATTGACTTGCTCCACATGCCTGGAAGCAAGAAAATGACACAACACATCCACCAAAGAATGCCGTTGATATTAAGGCCACGAAAATGTGGCAACACAACAGCGACAACAACGCGAATAAGAACAACCAACAAACAGACAAACAGACAGACAGACAGAAAGACAGACAAACAAGCAGAAATAAACACCATACGGAAACAACAAACAACTAGCAACAATGCACAAACTAGACGCAGCGAGCAACACACAACAACCACTGTGCAACAAACAACTGACAGACTGCAACCAACAAGCAACAATCCGCCACCACCACCATCGCTGCTGCCACCACCACCACGACAACCACCACCACCACCACAAGAAACAAACAACAAACAAACAACAAACAGACAAGCCAGCCAGCCAGCCAGCCAGCCAGCCAGCCAACCAACCAACCAACCAACGACCAACGACAACGGACAACGACAACGACAACGACAACGACAACGACAACGACAACAACAACAACAACAACAACAACAACAACAACAACAACAACAACAACAACACCAACAACAGCAACAGCAACAGCAACAGCAACAGCAACAGCAACAGCAACAGCAACAGCAACAGCAACAGCAACAGCAACAGCAACAGCAACAGCAACAACAACAACAACAACAACAACAACAACAACAACAACAACAACAACAACAACAATGACAACGACAACGACAACGACAACGACAACGACAACGGCAACGACAACGACAACACCACCACCACCACCAACAACACCAGCACCACCAACACCACCAACACCACCAACACCACCAACACCACCAACAACACCAACACCACCAACACCAACAACACCAACAACACCAACAACACCAACAACACCAACAACACCAACAACACCAACAACACCAAGGTTGGACGGGGGGGGGTTTGCCCGGGAAAACAATGCGAAACGGCCGGGGAGGGTTTGCCCGAAGAACAATGTCACCGATCAAGTCATCAACACTGCGTGGTTCCCAAGACGTGTTGTTTGGCCACCAAAACCTCTTTGCACACAGCTGTGAAATTAAAACCAACCCTAAGCAGGCAATGTTTCCGGCCAGGGCCAGGATTGGCACAAACATCTCAACAACACACTGACACACACGCGTTCGTCGCAAAAAACAAGGTCTCAACAACAAACTCACACACACACACATTCGTTGCAAAAAACAATGTTTCCACACCAGTTCACTTCATTTGTCGCACGGCGTCCTCTGAAAACCCACCAGCACGAAAATCTCAACAACAAACTGTCTGGACCAAGGCTTTAACGAACGCAAGAACCGCTTTTTTTCCCTCACAGAAGCACATCTCGCTCCAAGTTACTAAAAGCCTCTCCGGGTGGAATCTTATCTTGAACAGCCACCCTGTAAGTTGCAAAGCACTGAACCACAGACTTTAGGTCGGGATTTTCCTTCAGCCAGCAAGCGGACATACCGTTTCGCGTTCCGCCTCCTTTCTTGGCACCGGATCTACCCAACTTGTTCGTTCTGCAAAGTTGCTCTTTGAGCTTACTTTGCCATGTTCTCGCATTTTTGGTCCCCCCCACTTGATCGGGTGTGCTTACCAGTTGGTGGGCTTGGACACAGTTCTGAGCGGGTGCGCTTGAACGGGTGTGCTTACGAGTTGGTGGGAACCAACTCGTAAGCACACCCGTTCAAGCGCACCCGCTCAGCACTGTGTCAAGCACCAAACTGGTAAGCACACCAGTTTCAAGTTGCACCCGCTCAGAATTGCCCACCAACTGTTATGCACACCCGTTCAAGTGCACCCGCTCAGAAA